AAATGTGGTAACACATTATATATAATTAATTATATAATAATATATATATATTATATTACAGTTGAAAAAAAAACTTTCCTCGATTTTTCTGACCAACCCTTATTTTAAATAAATAACAATAGGGAGTTCATTATGTTATTCGTCATAGTACACGGATAAAAGCGTGTAAATGATATCTGCTTTCTCCGAGATATCTACGAACGGGCGAAAGTTAACGACCTGTTTCATGAAACCTAGAGTAAATAAGAGTCAATGAGTTTCAAGTTCTTCCTTCCGTGACGTCGCGAAACGTTTTTCTTATTCGAAGAAAAATAAAGAAATATAAATGAAAGAGAATACCAAAGAAAAGAAATATATATATATATATAAGTAAAATAATAAATAAGAAAATGATCGTTCGTTATTAAACGAAATTAGCTTATTCGCATTAACTCGCATACAATAACTAAAAAACTAAAAAAAACTATTTAAATGGATATCGAAGAAAAAGATATTTTTTTAACAACCCTCTGATATTAATTTAAGACAAAGATGCTGAATCATTTTGTTAATTTGATTAATTCGCAATCACTTTTTCGTTAGCTGCAAAATAGAATAAGGAACAAAATCTTTAAGATCTTTCATACTTTTCCAATCAAAAAAAAAAAAGAAAAGAAAAAGTATAATTATCTACAAAGAATCACGTTGAATTGAAAGATAAACGCGTATGCAATACTATTTTTTACGTTGGGTTAGAAATTAACGATAATCCGTCGAATTTTCTCTCTTTTTGTTATTTTTTTTTTACTTTTTCTATTTTCTTTTTCTTCTTTATGGTTATAAAGAAGGATTAACGATGAGAAAGATGTTGTGTTGAGTATCATGAAGATTTCGCAGACACGATTCTTCTTACAAGTCCTCTCGTGCAACTTCAATTCCTAAAACGGTTAGTTAAAAAAGAAAAAGAACAAAAAAAAGGAAGAAAAAAAAAAAAAAGAAAAAAGTAGAGGGAAAGATTATGAGGGAAAAGAGCAAGGATACGAGAAACGTACCCGACCGACCATTCTTTCTTTTATTTCTTTCTCTTTCTTCGGAATTGACGACCTCGAGAAATGGGTCGAAGCGTCATCTCGTATGGTTATTATCCGTGGCTTCTTCTTCTTCTTCTTTTTATTCTTCTTATTCTTCTTTAAAGATCGCAATGAGAGTCTGATGGCTACGAACAAGGACAAAAACACGATTATTACGAAGAAACTCATCCGAACGGATTGAGAGGTAGGTACATAGAGACATAAATAGTAAATTTGTATTTGCAAGCCTTTTGCGAACACTACGAAGCGTATAGATGTCTTCTGGTTTTCTTTCTAACTAGAAATGGATAAAGATATTACAATTAAATAAATAAATAAAAAAAAAAAAGGAAAGAAAAGATAAGAAAATTATAGAATGACTTCGAATTATTCGGGTATTCAACGGAATGAAACAAAACTTACGGCTAGTTGTTTTTGCTGAACATTTTGTAAAACGTAATATCTTCAAAATGTCGCTGAGAAAAGATATATATATATATAAATGATTAAAAAAGCATCGAGATTTGGCCTTGAACCGATTTTGAAATGATTCCACGTGAGGAGACATCTTAAAACTAACTTAACATAAGGATTATAAGTTTGGTGACCTTTCGAGAATCGTTGTCGGTGTCATGTTCGAAAGAATACTAAATTTGATGATCGAATTTTGCACCTTTCGTAATAACTACAACGTAACTGTTCCTTTTAAAGATGAGCATAGATAAACATAACGTAACAAAACTCGATTATGCGTTCCTTCCTTGATGGAGGATACTTGATAAATGCGTTACGTCAAACGCGTTACGATCTGTAAATGTTTTCTTTTTTATCTTACATTAGAAAAAGATTACAAAGATCTCTCTGATTATGTGAAAAGTCAAATTTCAAATGCCAGTTTCTCTTTTTAATCTCATGAAACAGGTTACATTGACATAATATCTTAGGACAAACCGATCACCATCTGTAGACATTATCATCATCATCATCATCATCATCATCATTATTAAGAGATGATCGAGATACCCTTGAGCTACATAGAAGAGTGGTAAAAGTTTTGATCGAAATGGATGTTTGATAGAAAAATCCCATTTTGCGGATAATATTGATTAGAAGATTTATCAATGTCGAGTCAATATAATTCGTTTCTGATACAAGTTTGATCAAAATATTGTATCAACGTATAGATATTTATGTTAAAGATATCCAATATACTTTGGAGATATTTTACATGAATTATCAATTACGTTGACGGGTCTGTCGAGAAATTTATGTAATTAACAAAATTCTATCGTTTTTATTTTGGTCTTTTTTCTTTTCTTTTTTGTCGATTAGAAAACGAAATTTTTCAAGACGCGTATATTAACATATTTTTAATATATGGCATCTATAATGAATTAGATTTTTTTTTTTCTTTTTATCTCTATGACAGTCACATATGAAGCAGATTGTAGAATTCTAGGATCTAGAGTGCGAATGCTTCAAGGTTGTTTGGTTCATTGTTGATCCAGGAATGCCATTGTCAAGGGAATCCTTCTCGTTACTTTGCCGATCTTATCAGTTAAATAATTATGAGGAAGACTTGATCGATCTATTACGGATCGATATGTTGATATATTCCATGGTGCGATATTATATAATCCAATCATCGATAATGTCCCGATAATTATCTAATCAAAAAATCCTAAGAAGAAAGATATTTTTTCTAACTGTCGATACATCAATCGTTATTATTTAACGATTTATGTAGGAATTATTTTCATTCGATGTGTCTATTATCTCAAGCGTAAATTATTAACTAAATATTTGTTGCAAATAAGCAGAAAAAAAAAAAAACATTATACAAGTGGCTTAGTACAGAACTGTTAATATAAAAGCGCGACATATATTATTATAGTTTTATAATTCAAATAGGGTATTATTACTAAAAAGGTTAATCATAAAGAAGATACTTTGCTAACGTATAATATTTCATTAATATATGATCTCACAAAGCATTGTTAATTATTTGTTATTAGAAAAATTTCACACAAATCCAAGCTTTTACGACAGCTTTTAAATAAATTATCGATCTTTGTCTCTCGCATATAAATCGAGTATTATGCATTCTATACGCTAACTATATTTATATGTATTTTTTTCTTTTTTTAATAAATATTACAAAACCATAAAAAAATTAGCAAAAGCGTGTCGTTAAACTTTTTTAACGATATTTTGTTATCTTTCGTTTTATTTTATTTTTTTGTTCTTTTTTTAATTATTTTCATTATTTTTTTTTCTTGTTTTTAATTTTTTGTATCAAACGATTACGTCATATATCTAATTTTGATTTTTAACGTAGTCATTTGTAAACGATTAAAAACTGATTATTCATTAAAAAATATTACATTAACACTCTATTTATATAACACGTATTGAGTATTGTGGTACATAAAGGATCAACTACATTATATTTACATAATTTACAATTATTTAGTAATCCTAATCGTTTATTATATCTAATGGATATAAATATGCGAAATAATATGACTTGTTTTTTTCTTTTTTAACGTAAATAATGATAATTTAGTTATGATAATATAATTATTTAATGAAATACATTTGTTTTTCCGAAAATCTATCAAAATCTATGAATCCTTCTTTCGATCATTTAATACCACTATATGTAAATCTCATGCTTTGTCTACGATGGTTGACTAAATATCGACACATTCTATCGTTTGCGATAGACCATTCATAATTTTCTTTTATATATATATATATGCTTCACATAAAATGTTTTTATATTTCAGTTACAGAATTATTCATAACGCGTCATTTATTTGAACCATTATGCTGTCTATTTTATATAATTCGCACTTCTTACAAATATTGCACAATCACAGCTATGCGTTCTACATTTTGTCAAATAGTCAAAATTCTTAACAAGTTTACTCATACGTTTATTTATATAATCTATGCTCGTAGCTACAAAAGAAAGACTATCAATTATGCTATTTTATTATACTTTATTTTATTTATTTTGTTTGTTTGTTTTTCTTTTTTTTTTTTGATAAAGATATAAGGCTTTTAATCATGACAGTAAAAATAGTATTATGCGAATACAATGTATCAACATTCCATAAAAATTTGTTTATGACACAACTCATTTAATCGTTAATAGGAATTAATCTTATTATATGTACAGAGTGAATAAGAGACTAGACCAGATAATAACAAATTTCTTTCCAATAATACATAATTTAACATTGCATTTATAAATTATATTCAATGCTATTCAAATGCAATATGTTATCTTAAAGTATTATTGTAATATACAAAAAAAAATATGACGGAGAATAAAAAACTAGAATACATTTAGCAGCACTTAGTCGATAAATTGTCATTATCATTTTATGTAATATTATTTCTGTTGTAATAACACGTAGACGACACATTGCAATCAATTAATTGAACAACTTTACCAAAGATTATTTTCCGAAACACAATTTATATTATTTTATAATTGTATCATTTTCTCTTGATAAAAAAAGAATTCTGAAGAATTTATATTAAAGATACGTTTTGTAAATAATAAATGTTCTTCCAAATATCACAGTGTCTAATTATAACATTAACGTTTATTAAAAATAATGGAACATAATGAAATTGAAAACGTGGAATGCTTTAAAGAATTTGGTTATTCAAACGCAAAAATACATACGCATATAAAAAAGAAACCAAAATTACAATCTAGAATAAAAATGCTCAAAGAAACTAAATAAATTACGTTTCCTTATGCACGTGTTTATATGCACTGTTGCATGTATATCTACAAATACAAGCTTACACGATACCAAATTCAATACAAAGTCGAAACGTAAAGCATTCATTAAAAACCAATTTTCTTTGGCTATTTCGGGTTATTTTTATTTAAATAATTATAATATCGTAATATTGTACAATATGAGTTAGAGTAGAATGTGAATTTTTAACGCGTAAATTTTACTTAGATCATACGTTGCCCGCTCGATGGAGCATATTGTGGTTGTTGATGGTTAATCGAAGGTCCTGTCGATCCCGGTGGACCATATTGAGCTGGCAAGGGACCAGTTTGAGGCGGAAATCTGCTACATAAGGTTGTACACCATTGATTTATTCCTTTTAATTGAAAACTTTTATGGTTTCTCGCCTTGTAGTCAATAACATATGTTTCAAAAATATCATTTTCAAGTTCTAATAGATCGTTGAAAAAATATTTCACTTACTATGCTTTTTTATATGAAGTTACAAAAAAATTAAAAAACAAAATATACTCATAAATACACATACCCTTGTTGTTGATAGGAGTGTGTTTGTTCAGGCACTGGTGGACCTTGTGGATGTCCTGTCGGAGGCTGAGGACCAGGCTGTATACGAAAATGTGGTGGTAATGCCATATTTGGTATACTAGGAGGACCCATATATTCATGTGGACCTGGAGGTCCACCTGTATTTGAGAAAGGTACCTGATGTGGTGTTGGCATTCCATTATACATCTAAAAGTAAAGATATACAAGTATTATAATTATCTATGAATTCAATTACATACAAACACAATATTTTCTTTAAAATTAATCTTACATGCGGAGATGGTGGTGGTGGTCCCTGATTAGGAAATGGATAAGAGATATGTGACGACATTTTAGGCATAGTGTAATTAGATTGTGCTGGAGGAGGGGACTCCCGCATTAACGTATGATACATATTTAAAGCTTCAACCAAATCAGAACTTAATTGAGTGAGTTGAGCGTGCCGTCTATCAACTTTTTCTAGAGCTGCATCAATCAGTGGACCCATTGCAGTAACTTGTTCTGTAGAATAATGTATCATGCGAATATTAATATTAGTATTAGTTAATTATAATCATTGTCTTTTGTATTGTATAATATTATTTATTATACCTTCTAAATCAAGCATTTCTTGAGGGTCAGACGAGCTATCACACTGGGGATCAGCTTCATGTAATAAATGTAAAAGTCTATCCATCTTTTTTTCATCTATTTCTACTTCTATTACTTCCGGTTCTCTCTTTACTGTTTTTACTTCTACTTCTTCCGCAAACTGAACTAATTTTTTATTGCTATGTTCTAATTCTGCAAAAATAAGTATATTAGTTTTATTGCATTTGATTTAATGAGAAAAATATAGACTTTTGCTAATGTTATACTTACTCGTAAACTGTTCAGGTTCCACTGATAAATCCGCAGTTACAAAATTAGAAGGAAAAAGACCTTCTCCTCTATGATTGCTACCTTTCCACCAATTTTGATCAGAATCATCCAAAATATTTACTAAAATTTAATTAATAATAAATATTTCTTATGATAAATCTTTATCAAACAATAATAAAAAAAACAACTTAAAACTATAAGTATCAATTTTAATTTTAACATACTTATTTCTCCAGCTAAAAATGTTAATTCATTATCTTCAGCAGCCTCAAAATCATAAAGAGCTCGCACCTTTCTGCCTTCTGAAGTACTCGAACTACTAAGCGCAGAACTTACACTTGGATATAAACTAGTATTTTTTTTTGACGCCGGTGAACCATGAGAAGAACTCGTTTGTGGTTTATTTTCTTTCAGCGAAAGCTCAATAGCTATTTACCAACATGAAAATTAATTATTTCATTTAGATAACAATATAAATTCTCATTATTTGCCAAATGATTACCCTTCGCTAAATCTTCTTCCTCTTGAGAATTTGTTACTACATTTGGGTCCTTACTTAATATGTTGGAACGTTTAGGCTAAAAATTTTCACAAGTATACATAACTCAATTTCAAATAGAGCATTTTAAAAGGGAAGTAAGAAAATAATAATAGTTACATCTAAAAGATTGGTTATTTATAACATATTATTAACTATATAATATATATATATATATATATATATATTAATAAATTGCTAAACTATTAATTAAAACTTACTATTTCAGATAAACTTGAAAAATCAAGTCCTTCATTACGAAGTTTATTGTATAAACTTGGAATCAAATTAAGTTGAGGATCTGTTTTAAAATCACCTTCGGCCCACTTCTTCAAAAGTATTTTAATTTTCTCCGCTATCTTGGGTTGAGAATGATTAATCATTTTCTTCAAATCATTTTCAAAATCTCTCGACGCTATTTCCAAATGGAAAGTTTTTCCGCAATTGTTGGAGCATGCATCCAATAACTAAATGCGAAGATACAATTAAAATAATGATTTCAATATTATCGTATCTTAAAGAAACAAATTATAAACTACTAACTGTAATGGCTTGTACAACAATATGTGGATCTTGTGAATTTAATCTTTTAACAATAGAACGTAAACAGTCCTTGGCATTCTGCGAAGAATTACCAACTCGATCACAGATCTCCATTATCTTAACCCAATCTTCGGATGTATTTTTTTCATTTGTTGCTTTCTCTATAACAGACAAATGTATAAAAGAATATGCTATAACAATAGAATCAATTTTTATAATAATTAACCTTTTAACATAATAATGATATACAATTAATGTTTTATTAGGGACAAGTTAAATATATATATTGAAAGTAAATGAAACATATTGAAAAAAAAGAAAAATCAAAAGAGTAAGCATAAAAATAATGTTTCAAATGAGGCATTGTATCTCTCAAGTATGAAATTATATTAATTTAAACGAAAAGAAATATTTTAACATACAATAAGGCGTATCTTAATCAGAGTAAAAAATAGATTGCGATAAAAGGCAGGTCATAAAGTAATCGGTGTAGAAAACGTATGCGCTTTTGAAGTCTCGATTAGAGGTCAAACGTCAACAACCGCTTAATGCCTGCGTTAAAGAGTATTACATTTTTCATCATTTCCAAAGAAATCTTATCTTTGATAGGATATATATATATATATATATAATAAAATTGTTCTGAAAGATTTATAATAAAAAAGGGACACATTTTCAATCGATGAATCTCTCTTACTCATCGTAGTTGGTTTGTTCGTAAACGAATTAAGGCTAGGCTAAAACTATGTTTATTAACTCACCGACGTCAGCATCGAAAGGCGACGAATTCGGGAAAAGGCCCATTTCTTTTTTTTATTTATTTATTTAATATTAATTCTCGCAGAATTTTTTATCAACTGGATTTAATTATAAAATATCCGTCAGATAAACGCCGTCATGTAATCTCTCTTCTTCGTTTGACGTTATACATTCAGCTGATATTTACTTACAAACACGACACTCCGAATGACTAATAACATTCTAATCTACGATCGAGTGCCATTTTACTTTCGAGCTGTTAAGTAAGCTCGATACTATCGAACACAAATGTCGATCTTATGTACGGTATAACCACTATATCTGTTGTCACGCCGAAATATTTATATCGACATTGGAATGGTTTATTTTAACGTTATTTTACTTGAAAATCTTGCTATTTTGAAACGAGTGGAAAAGAATTACTTGGAATGCGTCTTCATTAATTTAAAGGTTTCTTCGAGTATGGCTTTTCTGAACTGTAACGAAAAGAAAAGGTTTCCGAAAAGATATATGACTGTCTAGAAAAAGAAAGAGAATCAAGCTAATCGAGTTTCGATATATCGCAACATTAAATGGCGATCCTGTCGCTGCTGACATCTTGCGGCAAGTCGATCGTTCAAAACTATATGAAAATTATTCGATGTATTATTCACTCTCACGAGGTTTCAAAATTGAATTATCTCGAGCACTTAAATTTTATGAGCTTCAATATAATCGATTTTATAAACCTAAAAGACACATTCTATTTTATCGCACGATTAATTTCATAGTTTTCACTCGAAGTTCAATTCATTCGAGTTATTTAAATACAAATATTTTCCATTAAGCATCTCATCTTTCATATTTTTTTTAATTTTAATCGCATATATTTATTAAACTAATTATGCATATAAATATTTTAAACAAGGATTTAACCATAGGAACGCTTCATTATTGTAGATTTTCGAGTATCAGCATAATATTGCTTGTATTCTGATAGAAATTGAATTATAAATTGTTGTTGTTAAAATAATCATTGTTTTGCTTGTATTCTGATAGGAATTGAATTATAAATTGTTGTTGTTAAAATAATCAGAATATTGTATTCTTTGATAGTATTGGTGGTCTCAGTGGTAACAAAAATGATGCTGGGTAGATAAAAAAGGGGACTTGTGAGTTTCTATATACTTCACCACAAAAAAGTTGGCGTAGAATCGCAACAGCAGAAAAAAATTAAAAAATGAAAATATTTACCTATTGTTTATACATTATGAACGATTAACTCATTTCTTTTCGATACCTTATAGGTTGTTACTTTGGAAATCAATTTTAAATATATCTCCTGCAGGTATTCCAACTTGTTTTTTATTTTTTTCCAAGTGTGCTTGCGCCTTGAATTTGTGGTTGCGCATGTGTATAACATATATCCCACTCATGACGTCGCCATTTCATAATTATTCAAAGTGTAATAATTATTTTCAACTAATTAACGATAAATACAAAATATTTGATAGAATAAAGTTGAGCACAAATAGTGTGCAAATAAGAGCACTTATTCATTTTTTCTGCTGTTGCAAATTTCGTTGCTTTGCTTAGAAATAGGAAAAATAATTTGTGTATTTTCAATTATTAATAACTTATTAATTAATTAATTATTAAAGTGAGCAATTATGGATTTTAGTTCAGCAAATAGTGTACAATTAAAAACACTTATTCATTTTTTCTGCTGTTAAGGTTCCTTGCCAGCGTTCCTACGGTGAGGACTTCTGATAAATTACACCTTGTGGTTAGTATTTACATAAAGAAGTGGACGATGGCGTTTGTTGGACTGAAAAGATCATTGCAAATGGCGGAATACTTTTGAAATAAGTAATCAAATATACCGAAATTTTTTTTGCATCTGTTAAATTTTTAAAGTTATTTATGATACATTTTTTGTTATGTATAATGCGTTCATAAAAAAAAAATACCACATAATATTTTTATATAACGATTACACTTATTATTCTGAATAGAAAAAAGAGAAGTGATCTTCGAAGGGCAAAAAATGAAGCAAGCAAACCCCTAGATTATCAGAATTATTTTCTCAACGGTAAAATTATTTTCGCGGTGTTCACTAACCGCCCGCAAATAATTGGAAAGTCCCGCGCTTTTGTGCATCACATTATTATCGCGATGCAACGTAGCCACGATGACTACTGACACGTCGGCAAATTATCTGACGATTACGCCGAGAAAATTCGCAGGGAGTCGGACGCGAAACTCAGATATTAGAACGCTCGTGTTTCCGACAAAATTATTACCTTCTGAATTATTACTCACTTACGTAATCGGCTCATTGACATTCGTTGTTTCAGACTTCTTTTGTTTTGTTTTTTACTTTTTTTTTTTTTATTTTTATATTTTTAAATTTTTCATTATTGATACGAAATTTCAACCCTTCAAAAATAGCAGCAATAACAATAATATATATATATAATAATAATAATAATAATATTTTTCTAATTGACACAGTGACACAATGCTATTACATTCATAATGTAAATTTTTTACCAATGATTCACGCATAAACAAAGCAACTGAATAAAACTAACTAAATTGATAATTAAAAGTTACTTTTACGTCGCATAGTCGTCAGCTCGTTAAAATCAACTTCCGCCCTCCTTCATCCAAGTGAAACGCTTTTTTAACGAGATCCGTATTCGAGATGAAAGCCTTTTTTCCCATACATACTATCCGTATACAATACTTTTCGCATCAGAAAAGATGTTTCGATTCTGATAGGCATCCTGAAATTGTGCTCGCTTGCATAATAAACTTTTCTCAATTCTTTCATCATTTTCCTATCAGACAGATAAAAAAAAAACAAAGTATCGTAGCCATAAGATTGCTACGATTACTTTACCTATTACCTGGCTTCTTTATTTATTTTTTTTTTTTCCCTTTCCTTTTATATCTGCACATAATATTAACGAACTTGTACTTTAGAAAGGATGTATTCTTGGAACGAATGTATACCTTCACCAAGGAAAGGACTCTATATTAGAAATTACGAGAAGTTCGTGACGAAATAATATCTACTGAAGTATATATATATATCTACAAAGAAATATATTGTCTTCATTATACCGTAAGACGTAGAATAGAAAGAAAGACGGACATTTATATTATTCTTTAGATGGAATTCTTCGGCTCCTCGGAAATTGCGTATCTCAAAGAAAGTAATAGCGGTCCCACCGTGCGAAGAAAGAAAGTAGATTGTACTCTAGTAGTAAATATCGCATGAGAAATAACGTCTATTCTTGAGAATGATAGTAAGTTGATGGTAAACTTCGCACGTCCTCGCGTATGAAACTTAGAATAAAATCTAAGGGAACAGTAGGGTCGTGTTTAACATTAATTATAATCGTATAATTATTAAAAGGAGAGAAAAGAAAAAAAAAAAAAGCATTGTTATTAATATAATAATTTACTTTAATTAAATTATGATCGATAATGCAACATATAATTTGAATTTTTTGTTCGAACATAACGTATTATTCTTATACTTGGGAACCCTTTCCTATGAGAATTAATCCCTCCCGCGCGAAGCAAATGGTGCCTCGAGTTTCGCTTGAAACTTGTTTTCATCGTATGATTGGAGAGAGAGGAGAAAGGAAGATGACCGGACCCATTTTCGCAGCCCGAGGCTAACATCACAAAAGGAGGATTGGATCCAATCAAAAAGTGTCGATTCGAAAGAAAAAGTACATTTTGTCTTGACGACATGTTGATTAAATCGAATTTTAATTTATATAATTTATCTATACCGAAATAAGTATATGATTTCAGATAAGTGGAAGATTATATTTATTATTATAGGAGTCTTATATTTAAGAAACGATCTAACTAAAGACATAGAAAGAGTTATAAAACAAAAAAAAACCATAAATCCATTCGATAATGGTAAAAAGGATATTGACTTTTGACGATAGACAAAAAATTCGTTCTATTCGATTCTTTCTCCTTCTTTCTCCACAAAGTGAGCGTTTTTCTTGGCAAGTAAGATTGTTCAGCGAGGCACTTCGCCGGTGAATGGAATCTAACGTCCGATACTTTCGCAGGCATCCAGAGCTCTGTATGCTTTCGTTTTGCACTTCTTAACCGGAAGTCTCGAGGCCGGTGTAACCGAACATTTTCAACGATCCTTGCTTGATGTAATTCGCAATTTAATACTATTATTAAACATTTCGACATTTTTTTTTTTTTCATCTGATAATAAAAAGACAACAAACTCTTGAAACGTGGGAGGGAGATAATTCGATACGATATAATCAATAATTGTATTAATTGTACGTTGCGTAATAATTAAAAAGAAAAATACTTTCAATTTATATGTGGATTATCGATAAAAATAATCTACGTAAGATAGAAAGTTAAAACGTTATTCCTATTCCTTAGATAGGAACGATCGAGTTGAAAGAAAATTAAATTGATTCGTTTTAGTTAATCTCATAAATATTATAAACAAGACCGTGAAAAATATACGTTAGACTTGCGACAAATCAGAGATCTCGTAATCTATTTTATGCATCTCATTGTAAGTAAATCATTTTTATGGTTCATCGAACGACAACCTCGGTTTTGTCTAACTCATGCTTCATTGACTTTGTTAATTTATGAAATCGTTTCTTTCTTTGTTGCATATCTAACTTCTCTCCTGCACAATCATTTTATTTATTAATATGAATTTTTAATCCTTTCTTTTAATCATGTCGGTATACAAGCAACTGATCTACAATGATGTGGCAATCAAATATCCATGACCCATAAGTGTGCACGCAACTTCAGTTTTATTACGCTCCTTGATTCGCAGATACCATATACTACGTACATATCTTGAACAGTATTCACGAAGCACCAGCATCCTTCGTAAGTAAGAAGAAAATACGTAACGAAGAAGTGGGTTCCTTGGTAAACGTTCACCATTCTACCTGGCCGTCGTCTCCCACCTGGTCGACCTGAAGAACTCTTTCCTCCTCAGAGAAGTAAAACTCTCGGACGTTTTCCGATCTCTAACAGTTCTGAACTCGTCTTCGTCGATGTGCCAAATTATTAACCGAGCTTCACCGTTCTGCTCTTAAAATAGAGCCCGAAGATAAAACCGTGTGTCGCAAATTAACTAACTAATTAATTAACTAAAAAGACATTTTGTTGTCTTTCTATGAGATAAACAACAACAAGAAAAAATAATAAAGAATAAGAAAATTAATTGTCGAAGAATAACGCGTTTATGTTCGATTTGATTTTAATTTAATATCTCTGTCTCTTTTATTTATTGATTTTTATTTTTGATACGGTAACATGATATAATTTTTCTTTTTTTTCCTTGAAGCTTAAAAAAAAAGAAAAAGTGTTCTCCTCGTCGGAACAAACAATCGTTTCTACATCGATTAACAGGAGTTCGAAGATTAATTACTCGATTGATTAATAACGAAAAATTAAAGTGAAACTATTTAACGTTTTTGTAGATTTAAAGTTTCACGAAAGAAAATAATTG